AGTGTACGAAGTACTGCTATCAGCTTCAGTAGCAGAGCCATTAGTGATGTCATTTGATTATGACGTCATGGTAACCAGTGATGTCAACAATTGCAACGATATCGAGAGTGTAGATATCGCTTGATCTCATCCAAGCGATATCTCCTGTGGGAGCCAGTTTTGGATGATAAAAGATATACTATGCCTACAGCTGCAGGAGATAATTGCATAAAGCGCAATAATTTATACTTACAAAATATAGACCGGTTAACTTAAGTGAAAGGAGATATATTTAAGCTAAGTATGTTTAGCTCTTTTAAAATTAAAATCAACCAATAGGAAGGATTATTTACATAACGAAACATGACTTTGGTTAAAACATGTCCAGATTAAGTCACCCTCATTTCATTTCACAGACTCCAATATGTTTAGAGAAACCAAAATAGCGCTCTCCTTCAGTCCAAAACAACCTAACCCTTACACTTTCCACAGCACCCGCAGTATATATGCATACCGGTTGTACGTACACACAGACACACATGCTCACAAAGATACACTATGACATACAGACAGAAGTAAATATATTCCGCATTTGTTCGCTAGTACACAATCCAAAGCGTGTGTATATTCATTCACAGAAACACGAGATTACACCTTACATACAGACAATAGGGTGATATACTCACACATACCCTCACACACACACACACTCAGACGCACACAAACATATTCACTTTAGTTACGTATATAAATTGAACAACAAAAGTTCCTGTGACACCAATATTTAAGTGTATTGTTCAAACAAGTGAAGTTTGGTTTTCAATATGTTAGTACATGTAGGGAATCAAGTCACAAAAACGCAACTGCTACATAAAAGCATGCAATCCCTTTTGACTTGTATGCAAGCCCCATGCATCTCACTGCCCAAGAATGGGTATAAAACATTTGCGTTAACAGGATTCCATATGCATTGTTTAGCATCGTGCTGACAACAACGACTCACAAAAACAACAAAATTACGCACAAATTCAACATTACGAAATGCCACGCCTGTCCGAAAATGAGAATCTGCGAGCTATTGGTATGCTTGAAGCAGGATCGAGTCAACGTAGTGTTGCAAGACAATTTAACGTCCACAGAAAGACCATTTAGTGTTGATGGCAACGTTGGCAACAGACGAATGAAGTCAGAGACCATCCTCGGAGTGGCAGGCCACGCGTAACCAATAATCGGCAAGACAACTGGATTCGAACAACAATCGATTCCAGCCAACAACAGTGACTGCAGGAAGCCTTCGACAAATATCTTCACCAATCGTACGTCGCCGCCTCAGATGTGCAGGGATTGTCGCCAGAAGACCCATTTTGACAGGAAGCCATCGTCAAGCACGTCTTCAGTGGAGCTGACAGCGTCTACGCTTGACGGCCATGCAGTGGGGACAAGTTCTATTCACTGACGAGTCTTCACCTCAGCCACAGCTTGATTCGAGTGTGTAGACGTCGAGGTGAACGTTACGTCAATCATTGTGTCATGGAAGAAGATCGGTCCAGGGGCGGGGCGGCAGCGTTATAGTATGGGGTGGGATTACAGCAAGACAGAGGACCCGTTTGATATTGGTAGATGGAAATCTCAATGGACAGCGCTACAGCGACGATATCACCGGCCCTGTTCTACCGGTTTTGCGTCGTCATGGCCCAGGCATTACCTTTCCACATTACAACGCCCGGCCTCATATTGCTCGACTTGTTCAGGATTATCTTAAACAAAACAACGTGAATATCATCCCCTGGCCGGCACTCTCCCCTGATCGAGCACATGTGGGATGAGATAGATCGGCGCCTTCGACGCCAACCACGTGTTCCACAGACACTCCAGGAACTTCTAAACATGCTCCAACAGATATGGACAGATATCCCACAGGACTTAGTGCGACGCCTTGTCCATTCCATGAGACGAAGATGTTCTGCTTGCATCGCAAGCAGAGGTGGACACACACGCTATCCATTTGTAAATTGACATTTTTGCATGTTCACGTTTTTTTTATGAAATAACGCATTTTCAGTATAGCAAATTAAAGAACTGAACACTTACAGGAGTCTTTTATCTGTTGCAAACCGAAACTGTTTCAGATTTAGTAAAAAACATAGTACTACATGATATAGGCAGACATTAATAAGTTGAATATCAGTATTCTTAATGAGATACAATGGGCGAAGAGGAAGACATACTACATGAGGAATGATTTGTGAAACTTGTCTACGGGTAACATTTTAAAGCACATGGTAGCTATTGTAGATTGTTATCATTAAATACAATCTTCCAATCATTAGTACAGTTTGGGTTTAATACTTCTGATTAATGATTATAACCCCGTGGTATTTAACCTCCTGGAGATGATCATCCTTATAATTGTTTTACGCACCACTCAGCAATATTCCAGCTATATCAAGGCGGTCTGTAAATAATCGAGTCTGGACCAGACAATCAAGTGATTGACATCATAAACATTGATCCACGCAGTTGGGATCGATGACATGCATCAACAAAGTCAGCGAGCCTGACCACCAGAACCTGTTAGTCGCCTTTAACGACAAGCATAGTCGCCTTTTACGGCAAGCACGGGTCTGATTTGAAAGAGGTAATTCGTAATATCAGTGGTACGTGTCGCCCAAGCAATGGAAACGTGAAGCGTCCAGAAAATCATCTATGCCCTACCACAGACGGGATGACGAGATCTGCATTTGGATCCATGTTTAAACAGTATAGAGTTGCGTCCCTTTGGCACGCCAGAAACCTATGATTGTGGGTTCGAATCCCGGTTCGCCCCGATTATGTTTCTAGGTTTGTCAGCACCATACCCGTGCTCGTGGGTTTCACCGAAGTGGTAAACGTCTGAGACCTGCATCACTTTGGGCTTTCCTCCCTCATTAAGCTGACACGCCGCGATACGATGACTCGCATCAACCAAATCAGCGAGACTGAACCCGTTTCAACCATAACACATACGTTTATAAAACGCTAGTCGCGCATTAGAGGAAACACGATGTTGGTTATCAACATCGTACGATATACAGTCCGTCCTCCTAGCTAAATGTATCCGGGTGTCACGGCTTCACGGGGCTTACAATGCTGACTAATACCATGGCTGAAGTGCAGACAAAAATACCCGCAGGGTCCCACTACACGTAACAATACCAATTACAACATATTTGCATATTTATCAAAACTGCATTTATCACGTATGTGTATATTTATCATAACTCCGTTAATCACACATATGCACATTTATCATAACTCCATTTATCACATATATACATATTTATCATAACTCCATAAATCACATGTATATTCATCATAACTCCATTTATCACATATATGCATATTTATCATAACTCCCTAGAGCACATGTATATTTATCATAACTACATTAATCAAATATATGATTATTTATTTATTTATTATTATTTATTTAACTCCATTAATCACAGACACACACACACACACACACACACACACACACACATATATATATATATATTGTCCACTAGTACAAATGATAGCCATAACGAATTAATGAATTTATATATTTTCTTCGATGCAGTCTGAAATTCAAACATAGGCAAATACGTATACATTATTCATACTACGTGAGCATATACGATGAAAGCATGTGGTACAGTGTTCATGAATATGAATTTACAATGTACAATTTGTGAGCAGTAGGGTTTTTATATGTCCAGTGGATATACGACAAGTGTTTCGTTACATTCCATATAAAGAACATGTAGCAATACGATGTATTACGAAGTATTATAATTCATTTCGTCAGTTAAGTCATTAACCTCTGAACCGAGAAACAATAAAAAAAACCATATCAACCTCAAGTTTATCAATCAGGCATAAAAAAAACATAATATATATATATAAGACATGAACTAGACAGTGCAAAATAATATGGCAGTCAAAGTCATAGCAATGTTGATTACAATGTTTGAATTCTTTTGACACTTTTGCTCTTGATCCTATTCTAAGGGGTCTTAGATGTGGATAGAGATGCATTGTATTATGAAGAGCATGCATGTGTATGCGGGTATGAATTTTGTTACACGTGAGAGATCTGGTGATTCTCCAAATGTTTTTTTTTTCCTTCTCTGACAGGCGTCTGATTGCAATAGCTCGCCAAGCCGATTTTGTTGGGAATGAACCCATATCAGTATATTCTTTTTATATAGCTGTCTAAATTATTCTTTTTAGCAGTGTTTTGAAGGTTGCTGCATATGTTTACTTGACGGCTAATATTGACAATAGCGTTGGTAGCAATCGTTAAATACAATCGATATCAGAGAACCTTCCTAATTATTGTAATTTACCTTTATCTCTATGCCATGCCTCGACCACATCACATAGACGAATCTGTTGGGTGTCTTTTTCCAAGCCCTTGCACATGGCGAGCAAAGCAGCTTTGTGTGCATTCAAACATTTCTAGTTCTGTATAGTGTGAGGCTAATAACAATTTGCATCCATAAAAAACTTGTACATAGAATAATTATTTTCCACATTTTGACACACTTAGTAGGGTGGACCATGCGGTCGGCCTCCTGTGCATCGATCCACGCAATTGGAATACGATGACATTAACAAAGTCAGCGAGCCTGCCCACCCGATCCCGTTAGAGGCTTCTTACGACAAGCATAGCCGCCTTTTACGGCAAGTATGTGTTGCATAAGACATATTCTAACACGGAGCATCATGTTTTTTGTCGAATTATACCCGGAAATTATGACCAAAAAAATCGCATTCAAATGCTGGTAACATTCAGAACGTTATATGTACATGTAGTTTGTACCATATGAATTGATAGACGGTTTTAAGAAGAAAAAAACTGAATTATTCCATACAATTTCGCATTGAGCAACAACAATGAAAGGGTTGCGACTGCCATTAGATTGTGCTGTGTAATGAAACACCTGTAATAGACTTTGGGTTATCATTAATGATAAGACACGAACTCATGAGTTATCTTTTCAGCTTGTCGGCAGACGAAAGACGTTCATGCAGGTACCCGCATCAATCGGATCTGCTGTGGACAATCCACCGATCGGTCAAATGCAATGTCAATGTCAAACTTTCTCCGAAACTTAAACTTCGAATAGCTCGTAATTTTCTAAGAAGGCCATTGCCGAATGACGTCACGCAATGTATAGAGACGTAATCAATTAAAAATGTGTTACAACTTTATTTTCGATTTGCGTCAAATGGAATCTGTTTATATATGATAAACTTGACTGCTTATTCTTTTACATTGGCAATGAATATTTAGGTCAGACTGACCATATTATGTTTTGAGTCTATTGGATATGTTTTGTGGCAACCCCCTCTCTAAAAAATTCACATATTTATTTTCATGTTGAAATTTATACAGCCTTTAAATTACTAACCTATTCTTACCGGCTATTGGGACACTACAATGATGACACAAGCTGACGACCATGTCATAGCTGTAGAAACACTCATGCTTTAGTGAACTCATACAAAAATATGTTTCAGCTAAAATATCATAACACGCTTGCGATTCGTTCAAATATACTATGCAAAAAGAGTAGGGGACATTTTCTTTTTAGGTGAACCTACAGAACTATACGCCAATGACTGGCAGTGAGTAAGATATTTCTGTGGCAAAACATTTCAAGAATCAAGCTCCTCAAAACAACATTGTGAGAGTCATGTAGGGGTGGTATGCTAAATTTATTATTGTAACTATGAATCCGTTGTGAGCAGACGCATATGGTTTTCTTTGGACCAAATGCTCAAGACATTTTATTTGTACATTTAATCATGAAGAAAAAAACAACATGTCACGTTTGCAACGTGCTGAACGTTTACATGCCATAGGTATATTGCAGGTGGGCACATGTCAAAACATTGTTGCCCAAACGCTGCATGTATCTCAATCTGATGGCCCGATACCAACATTGATGACTGACGCCGCTCTGGACGCCTGAGGGAAAAATCTGTTAATCAGAACGATTGCAGTAAAACATCGTTTTCAAACTGCCATTCAAATAAGAGACCGATTGCAACAGGCAACCTGTGTAATACATGCCCCAAAGGTGCAAAGTCTTCTGCATAAATAGCATTTGCGTGCACGACTTCCAAGACTCACCCCGACACTTAATGCACGTCATTTGAACCAGAGGCGTCAGTGGTGTCTGACGAAGAGAGGTTAACTCTCGACTTCGATGACCAATGGAATCGAGTTACGAGACGTCCTAATGTGAGTTGTATGGACGTCGTACAGAATGATCCTTTTTCGGGGTGGGTCCATTTATATTGTTCATTGCAGAGTCACAAGGCCAGGCCCATCGGGACAACATCATTGCACTACTCGTCGTACCATTGCACAACAAGTTGGGTAATGTTTCATCTTTCAAGATAATAATGCACATACTCGTTGTGCCAGGATTTTGGCCAAATTCCCCCAACAGCAAAACATCATGGCCAGAACTCAGTCATGACCTTCCCCCCAATGAACATGTCTGGGACTGAATTGGCAGACGTTAGTGTCAACGTCTATTCCACCCATCAATCTCACTGATGAGTGGAACAACACGATTCAAGCTAACACTGTCCGCCTCATCAGAAGCATTCGATGAATTCGTGCACATTGAGGTGGTTCCATCCGATATTAGTTACGTTGGCCGCAAAATTAAAATGAGTCCCTTTACCTCTTTTACGACCTAGTGCGCCGCCATCTCATCCCAACAACCATTAGAACCTATTAGATCGGATCGCCTACTCCCAAGCAAATAAGATCATATCATTTCCAATTGCCAATACCACACAGATCAGATGATATGTTATGTCGCTTCTATCCCTTACCTTTTTATCATAGCGTACAGATGGTGCGATTTTGAACGTTGGGTTCACAAGAAGCCGTTGATTTCAAGTTGATTGTGTTTAAGGTAGCGATCAAGGTTATTCCACTTTTTAGCGATGTGCATGTGCCTGTATGCGTGTATTAGTACGGGCTAATGTAATGATAACCATCTCGGATTCAGACGCATATTTAACATGAATATGAATAACCTCTCAGTGAGTGTATGATAACTTCAAGGTGACCTCTTCTTGTCTTATCCCCTTTTTGCCGAGTGCCGACCAGGCCGCAACAAGTACAATGTCTTTCGCCGTCTGTTTAACGTCTTTTGGTATGACAAAACCGGAGTTCAAACCGAAAGTTCTCTTGACGTACGCTCTATCCATTAGATAACGGAGGTATTCACATAATATCTTTGACATCGAACAGTCACCCAATGGACCCAAGGTAGATATTTCATATAATAATGTTAAGGTTTTTTTTTTATATACCTATATTTGTGTCTTTCTCTCCTTGATAGGTTTCGCATACACGTCTCCTGTGTTGACATTTCCAGACACGATTGGACCGCCTTGTTTCTTTTTCTTGGGTTTCTTTACTTCAGCGTATATGTCTGAAACTGATGTTCCCACAATGAGTATTTAATGCGTAACATATATGCACCTTCATTTATTCATATTGTCTTTAACGTTAGAAATTGAGTAAAATAGATACAAAAAGAGAGTCAGAAAAATACCTATAATAAAAGAACATAAGGTCAGCTGGAAGACATAACAGATTTGCCTCACCGTGTGGAACCTTTGTAATTCTGGTTTTGTCAGGTTTAGCGTATAGGTTTTCAAGGTTGACGTTACCAGGCGCAACCTGATCCTGTGGTGTGTTCGTTGCTGGTACATCCACATTTGCGTATCCATCTGGTGAACGAACGGTATGTGTACATGAATTCATGCAGCGTAACCATTTATTTACGAGTGTAAAGGAAGCAGATCTATGTAGTAGAACGAGCATGAGAGAATGGGCGTATGTTGCACTGTATTCGTATATCATTTTAACATTTGTTCTATGTTTAACATCAGTTCTATGGTAATCACCTGTCATAATAAAATCTTCCTCCCGTTCATGAGATTCTTTGATAGAAGAGATGTCAGGTGACCCCTCATACAACTCATTATCCACTGAAACATGAAAGGTGTTTTTTGTTTAAAAAAACAGACACCAGAACATTTCGTACTTTTGGATAGGCAAGGGCAACCTTCGGTGATTTCACAGAATACAGATCATTATCAACTGTACTATTAACATGTATAACCGCGTGTATGACATACATGTAAATACATAAGTATCATATACTGCATGGCCATGTAATGAAGCTCAGTTCGACAGTTACTCTTCGAAATCAGTTAATTATCACCGCGTTTTTAATACCTGTGTCGGGGCTTGACGTATTTTGACAACCCAAAGTGCTGGAACGAAAAGAACACAAAAATAACAAGAAATACAAGAAGTTAAAGTGATAAATACAAAAGACTTAATAATAACAAATGTATTGAAACGAATAATTTATCGGGTAAGAAGATATAACCTCAACATGTTTGTTTGATTCTTGTTTTACGCTGCACTTATCAATACCCAAACAATATGACGGCCGCCTATAAATTATCTATTCTGGACCAATGCCGTTGGGATTGGAGGAAACGCTACCTATTGCTTGTCGTAAGAGACGATTAAATGGATCGGGTGGTCAGACAAGGTGACTTGGTTGATTTCATGTTATTATTTGCGTGGATGGATGCACATTGATTGTGTGGTCCAGACTTGATTATTTACAGACCACCATCATATAACTTGAATACAACAAATATATAGACAAACTTATCTATTTATGCTTTGATTTGTGCATGATTACGTGTGTTTAACAGGATGAGTTACACTCACGCTGTGGCATTTCTCTCGCCTTTCATATCATTTTGCTGATCTGGAAAAAGATATGTTCGGAGTCAGGACTTTACCTTTTCAAACACCATCTGGTATTGATGTTAAATCGTTTAATATATCAAATTTCTAACTTTTGCACTCCATGAATCCTCAGAAATGCATTATGTGACATGTGAAGCCATATGCTATTTATGTCAATGGTCCAAAATTACATACAATTGCTGAGTCAAAGTGTAATCGGGTACAATGTCAACACAAATACACACGGTCTGATTTTCTTCTCTGTCTGAGACACACGATGCCCACTATGACGACAGTGAGCAACGTAACGCCACCTACTGACCCACACACGATGTAAAGTGTCTCAGAACCTCTGTCATCTGTAACGATAGAAATATATTATCAGAACAAATTGTTGCCCCAGGATGCATCAGATGTGACGTATCATGAATTACAGCGAATATGTGTATGAGTATGGTGCTACCACATCACGGACTATCCACAGAGCTACCTGGACGTTCGATGTTGAGGTAACCACTTTCCAACCCTGTAAAAGTCAGTCATTTTAGCTGGTTGTTGAAGGGAGGCGACCGAAATGGATTCGTTCCTACCTTGCTTATACTAAAATGTTAAGATTGTCTGGTCCAGAATAGATTATTTTCAGACCGCCGTATCATAATCGCAATATTGCTTAGTACGGTGTTCACCCAAAAAACATTTTTAAACTAGCATTGGATATTGATGACTTTGTCTTCTTGTCTAGACTAAAGTTACCCCCCTTCAAGATCCGTGTAAGACTTGGCTTTCAACAACCAATGCTTGTCGTAAGAGGTGACTGACGGGATCGGTTACTCAAGATCGCAGCCTTGCTTGATGCATGTCATCGTATACCATCTCCGTAGGTCGATGCTCATGTTAAATGTTTTTACATTGTCTTGTCCAAACTCGATTATTTGCAGACCGCCGTCATACAGCTGGAATATATCTCAATGCTGCGTAAAACAACGGCAAAGAAATAGCCTTGCCATGCTGTATATACTGGCATTGTCATGTTTTATATCCTTGTATGTTCATGTTGCATATACTGGGATTGTCATGTTGTATATATTGGCCTTGTCATGTTGTATATACTGACTTTGTAACGTTGAATATATTGGCCTTGTCATGTTGTATATACTGACTTTGTAACGTTGAATATTTAATGGCCTTGTCATGTTGTATATACTTCCCTCGTTATTTTGCATATACTGACCTTGTAACGTTGTATATATTGGCCTTGTCATGTTGTATATACTGACATTGTAACGTTGTATATTTACTGGCCTTGTCATGTTGTATATACGTCATACTGACTTTGTGACGTTGTATATATTGGCCTTGTCATGTTGTATATACTTCCCTTGTTATGTTGTATATATTGGTCTTGCCATGTTGTATAAACTGATCTTGTCACGTTGTTTATACTGACTTTGTAACGTTGTATATACTGGCCTAGTCATGTTGTATATACTTGCCTTGTCACGTTGTATAAACTAACCTTGTTATGTTGTATATACTTGTCTGTTCATATTGAATATACAAGCATTGTCACATTGTATATACTGGCCTTTTCATGCTGTATATACTGACCTTGTCATGTTGTATTAACTGGCCTTGTCATGCTGTATATCCTGATCGTGTCATGGTGTATATACTGGCCTTGTCATGTTATATATACTGATCTTGTCATGGTGTATATGCTGGCCTTGTCATGATGTATATACTGGCCTTGCTTTTTTGTATATACTGCAGCAAATTTATTGAGGCGCTCGTACAATTTTAAGTTGTGGGTGTGACCCCGGAATCACTCAGGCACTAAATCAACCAGACAGTGACTGATAGATGGTTATGAGTAAGCATATACTCCGAAACGCTGTGTTCATCATTATACAAAAGTTGACATCCATAAACCCTCTTCACTGTCAGAGAGGTTTCATGCTTGAGATGTTAAAATGACACAGCATACAACTCCATGCTCCTTTAATGCACCTAATGTGTGATTTCCCCTGACACAATTACTGTGTTGTTTGCGAGATACTGCAGACAACATACAGTTCAACCGTCACTGATTGTTCCCTCGTGGAGCTGTCAACATCTCTATCATGTTCAGTATTAGAAAAACCGGTCCGTCTTGGTTCACTTATCTCCCTCAACAAAGCTTATGTAAACACAGCATCTCCGCCGTTGCCTGGATGCATTGTTCCAATGGAAAAGAGACTCCCATTAACAACTATCGAGTTAAATAATAAAGAACACGATCGAAGTCAAGTGCTCTAACTAATATTGTGTGTGTTAGCTGGATATAAGCCTCCACGGGTAGAGGGCCGAACATTCGTGCGTAAATAAGTGCAGATGTGTGAAGTGTTTTAATGCATGAACCCCTTTAATCGTACTGTTTGTTACATCAGGTGGCCATTCAACCGGGGGAGTCAGTATCAGCAAAGTTCCTAGACGGGTAATGTATTCTCACGATAGACAACACGTAAGTATATTTCTCATTTAACTCGTCAATCGAGACTGCTCGTTTCGCAAAGCACCACTTTTGCCCCTTGACCAGCCTGTATTCTTTCGCTTCCAACAGCGCTCTCGTTGTTTTCAAGAATATTTTTTGTTGAAGTTGATTTTGTATATAATCATATCTAAACGTATAAGGAGTTTTTGAGACCCTAAATAATACACACTGGTCAATTAACAAAAATGGCGCATTGCGACACGAACAGTCTAGATTGGCGAGCTAAATGGGAAATTTACAGTTTCTAACGAAACATTTTCGAGAGAATAACAAATGGCAAGAAGACATATAAACTCAATAATTACCATCAGTCATTATTTTGCCTTGTCAACCTAACGTCAAAAGGATGTCAACAGTTTGTGTACAAGCTAGACACATACTATAAAGGGAGACAGTTTGAGGGGAGGTAATTTATGTATGTAGTTCCGTCAAAGGGCAATGTTCACTGCAATGAAAATATAACTTTTCTCAACTTCAGAAAACTCAGTCTTTCACATTGAAGTACATGATTAAGTCACGAACGTGGATTCTTAATTAAAATCGGTGCTCATCACAATTAATTAGGGGCGATCTGTTAGCCTAGTGGTTAAGGCGTTCGCTCGTCACGCCGAAGATCCGGGTTTTAGCAATATTCCAGCATGATCACGGCGGGGGACACAAGAAACGGGCTTCGCGCATTGTACCCATAGCGGGATTCGAACCCGGGTCTTCAGCGTGACGGACGAACGTTTTAACCACTAGGCTACCCGACCGCCTCCGCGCTAGTTTGGAGTACCACAGCAACAATATATCAGTCGTGTTAGTATTACTAGCAGATTTAAGAAAATGGCATAACCCTGGATTATAATCGCTATTTACTCTTCATGATTATAGTAACATAACGGATTTCATGGGTGTCGATCAGCTCAGCCGGCGAGGACGTAAAACACAAAGTGAACATTGTGTAGGTTCACCCACGACCCATCTGACTGGGTTTTTTGCATGACAGACCATATACCATTCATTTGGTATCACAACCTCACAAGCAACAGTAATATAGCTTCAACTTCATTTTACAAAAGATCCATCTATTTTCATTTTGTGTACATGGATTCTTGTCCGACCCCTTTTTCCAGTTGATCAGGAGGCAGGTCCTTGTTGTACCAATTGTTTCTAATCTTCTACAAACTGTCCTTGTTGTTTCAACTGTTTCCATCTCCCTTCACATTGTCCTTGTTGTACCAATTGTTTCCATCTCCCTTCACATTGTCCTTGTTGTATCAATTGTTTCCATCTCCCTTCACACTGTCCTTGTTGTACCAATTGTTTCCATCTCCCTTCACACTGTCCTTGTTGTATCAATTGTTTCCATCTCCCTTCACACTGTCCTTGTTATATCAATTGTTTCAATCTCCCTGCACACTGTCCTTGTTGTATCAAATGTTTCAATCCCCATGCACACTGTCCTTGTTCTATCATCTGTTTACAGCCCCCAACACCCTGTCCGTATTGTTTCATATGTTTCCAACACCCTACACCCTCCCCTTATTGTATCAAATATTTCCAAACCCCTACGCACTGTCCGTATTGTATCAACTGTTTCCATCCCCAAGCACACTCCCAACACCCTGTCCATGTTGTGTCAACTGTTTAAAACCCTCTTAATCCTGTCCTTATTGTATCAGCTGTTTCCAACCCCCTACATCCTGTCCTTGTTTTATCGACTGTTTCCAACCCTCTTCACACTGTTGTCAACTCACTGTCCTTTTTTTTATCAACTGATTCCGTATCATCTATGTAGAGCCCCCTTCAGACTGTCCTTGTTGTATCAACTGTTTTCAACCCTAAAACCCTGTCCGTAATTAATAACCTGTTTTCGACCACCTACACACTACCCTTGTTGTATCAACTGTTTTCAAACCCCAACACCCTGTCCTTGTTTCATCACCTGTTTCCAACTCCTAACACACGGTCCCTGTTGCATCAACTGTTTCCATCCCCTACATACATTACTTGTTCTATCACCTGTTTTCACCACCACCACCCCATACCCTGTTTTTGTTGTATTAACCGTTTCAAAGGCCTGCACACTGTCTTTGTTGAATCAACTGTTTTCACCCAGATAGACACTGTCCTTGCTGTATCATCTATTTAGAACCCCTTACGCACTGTCCTTGTTGTATCAACTGTTTTCAAACAGAAACATCGTGTCCTTGTTGCATCAACTGTTTCCAACCCCCTACATACAGTACATGTTCTATCCACTGTTTTCAACCCCCTACACACTGTCCATGTTGTATCAACTGTTTTCAACCCCCTACACACTGTCCTTGTTGTATCAACTGTTTCCATCTTCCTAAACACTGTCTTTGTTGTATCAACTGTTTTCGGCCCCCTACACACTGTCCTTGTTGTATCATATGCTTAGTGACCCCAAACACTGTCTTTGTTGTATCAACTGTTTCCAACCCCATACACACTGTCCCTGTTGTTTGATATGTTCACAACCCCCTAACCACTGTCCTTGTTGTATCAACTGTTTCCAACCCCCTGCACACTTTCCTCGTACTATCAACTCGGAGACAAATCGCAAACTATACGGATTTGGATGACAATGTCGAGAATGAGTTCCAACTTTACGACAAGTCGCTTATGAATGCCAGCAGCGCCGTAAATCTTATTATTTGTTTTGCAAATTTAAGATGTTCACTTTCTGAGTTGAATTGTATGACTTATATCCTCTGCTGTTCTTGTAATTCCGTGTTTTTCAACAGAAGTGGATTGTAAAAGGGAGCTCTGATCTGGATTGTAGCTGTTCGGACACGTCACTGTTGTCATATAAATGTCAACATTTATGTCGTTTCTCTGATGTTGAGCTAACCTCTTGTCACTCTTAGTGTTACTGCATTTTGTCAGAGTCAGGTAAAACGTTAGTTTTTAATGTTCGCTCTTGTTTAAATTAAACACTTTGCTTTGTGGTGACAATTACGTTTTTTAGCCACACTCAGTAATATTCCAACTATATGATGAAAGCATGGTCTGGACCACACAAACCAGAGACATATATTAAGGTTGATAGAGATCTGAAGTAACCAGGAATCTCTTCTCTTATACTTCTGCAAAAATCAATACTATTATTGCTACAATTATTGATGCATGTCGATTCCAAAAGTGAAACTATATGTTAACACAGAAATCAGGCCGGAAATGAACCTAGTGTGAAACCAAAAAACAACCAACAAGTGATGTACAACCAACAAATGTATTACAAAAAATAACTAGATTAACAAATCAATACAAATTACTACACAGAAATAAGAATGGCAGTAAAAAATAAAGTGGTAGTACAATAGTCAATGGTAATGAACACAGTGATGATTTTGAAAAATAAGATAACAATCTTGTTGACATTCAGAGGGACATTTGTTGATGATAAACAAATAACATTGTAAAATGTTTACGTTATCAATGAGTAATATTACCTGTTGAAGTGTACTTTCTGTTAAATATATTTTATTTGTAAAAAATATCTACATCTACATGTACCTTGCAACAATGGAAGACAATTTGAGAAAGGTCCTCAGCTTTAAATAGATAAAAGTACAATATTGGTGTGGGTAGAAGACAACAGTGCTGTGTGGGTAGTGCTTCCTTAGCAGACTCAGCATACATTGTAGCTGGCAGTCTTTGATAGTTAAGGTTTATTTATTTACAACATTATATCCCAGTGCACCTTTGTTGCATATATCATCACGCTCTGCATTATTTGTCCTTATTCGTGGTGGTGTAATGAAGCATTGCATCTGTCCAACACAAAAAATCCAGTATTTGTAATCCAGTAATCGTCTTTGTTTAACCATTTATGGATATATTACAGCGTTGAGGGGTAGTCAACTTTAAGTTGTGATAGAAAACTCAAGTTGACAGGGTCGATATGCCCTTCGACAGTATGACAATGTGCTCACTCAGTTTAATGGGTGATAGTGCAGGGACGTGTAGTTAGGAGTAACGTTACGTAAGTGGGCTTCCCGTCTAACAAGAAAGTTGTGTATTTCTGGAGAAATATCATGTGACTCACTTTGTTGTTCTGCAATAAGGAGATTGTGATACCCTTTTATTGCCAGCCCCCGAGAAACCGTTCAACCCCCACGTATCATGAACGAGACCCTCACTGCAGTAATTTACACCCTGTATTCATAGGGAATACATTCATCAAACAACCAGTGATCATTATACGAGTGTGTTCCCGTATCGTAAATACACTGTATCATGAATAAATCATAATAGTTCGCGAGCATTTGGCTTTGATTACTTCATAGTCAAGTCCTCACATAAACACATCAATATGGTATATATTGGGAAAATGAATGCAATAACACGTGACCAATTCAGCTAATCAAAATGCAGGAATTTCAATGAACACAATGAAAATTTAATCATTTAATATTTATATCTTCTCATCGGTTCATCTATTATACCCAAAACACACAAAGTACACTTGTCAGTATTTATCTGTACACATGATTTGCAAAGGTTTTGCGATTCTAAATGAAACTATACCAACTGGACCAAGATCTAGAACACAAAATGTTATGCGAACGATGAGTCATTCACCAGTTTACACAATATAATTTTGCTTTAATAAATAAACCGGCATTATAAGATATCCACTATTTGTACACAAACTTATAAATGAGACAGTAATTTAATATATTAACAACAGTACCAGAAAGTTACCAAAACGCGTATATTCCAATGAAAAGTGTTGTGACACATAACAATGTGTTATGCTATATGTTTACATAGTTACTAAAAGTTGTAGCTCGGAAAAAGCGTGCCATTTTTGCTTTGAAGCAGTGTTTTAGGTATTTATTCTGTCTCTCAGAAATGCACGTGCAGCCTGTAGTGCTTGTGGCGGTGTATAAGAGATGTATGCCTCGGCTGAGAAGTGTATTACCCTTCACAGTATTTGATCAAGGTTCTGACAAGCAGATATGATAACATAAAATAACATATGTATATTCTCCAAGGTAACAGTCATGTGTTAACATTAAAAGTAAACTAAAGGTGAAGACATTTATCTGTTCACGAGATATGTTTAACTGCCCTTTGATGTCATCACTTTTCATGCTTCTTTGTGTATTCCCAGCATCTGGAAATGAAAGACATATATTGAAGGTTAATACTATAATGTCATAGTATCACATGAATACGGTACGGAAAGTGTCAGATTTTATTCAAATTCTACAATAGAACAGAAGAAAGCATATGCTTCTGCTTGAGACTAAAGTCGCTTAATATACAGATTATTATGTAAGCTGAAATTTTGTTTTCAAGGGCATAGCTATTTTAGATAGTAGCTACCCTAATGTTGAGCACGGGTGTTCTGATATGGAGATGCGTTGATGGACTCGTAAGACACAGGAGGCGGCTCTGTCACATCTTCGTAGGTACTTGTCTCTGCTTTGGCCTCGACTGAAAATTGGATTCGAAACGCATTAACAAAAAAAAAAATCAAATGTTGTGTACCCTTCTGAAGGAAACAGAACGTTTAATATCATGCCGGTATCCCGAGAGTACCTTTACTGAGTTGAGAATGATTGAGAACTGTCATAATATATAAACATGCCACAGTAGCCATCTACCGTTTGTATTCTGGTATATCTTCAACTGTGTGTAATGTTGTTTTTCCGATCCTTCTTTATCCACGCCTGAGTTCTGAGCCGGACCACTGATGTGATCTATAAAATAAGCGACAAAACCATTTCCATAATCAAGTTCATTGCACAATTCCGATTATATGACTTTAAGGAATCAATACGAACATTTAATATCGGTATCAACGCGAAATAGTTCCAGGCATAATTGTGACCACTGCAATGTATCTGACAAGCAACACTGACTTAAACCTACCCAAGGATGAATATCCTTTGTTTTCCATTTCTTCAATTTCTGGATTTCTGGTGCTACAAAAGTAAGTTAGGTCGGTTTATATAATTTATTATTGAAACGGTCGCCTTTTACGCCTGTTTCTCATTATAAGAGACATTTAATTTATTTTGAAAGCAAATTATTTCAAAACGTGTTATTAGTACATTTACGCTACCTTGTTTGTGAAGCAGTTCCTGAAAAGCAGAGGATGTTTATAAAGTACCTGTAATATAAATATCACAAAATGATGACGAGGACATTTAGGAAATATGAGAAACTAATGATATCATTAATTGTGTATATATCAAAAACCTACTGGATATGCTCGTTCTTAGTCATTATTGATTTCGATACAATGGTAACGTTCACGTCCACGCACAACAGTCATCAATATTAATTAACATCACTTTGGAATGAAACATGCCTTCACTCAATATCGCCACACCACTGTTTGAAATATAATACAATACTACTGAGATTTAACAACATACCTTTCAAGATGTTTCCAAACCTGAACCCCTTCCTATAGAGGACAGTCAGAACTAGTCCTTCAATCAGCAGGGTAAGAAGGAGGGTTCCTATTGTGCTTCCTGCTATCACAGCTAGCGTGTAACATTCGACATTGAGTGGTTGTGGGTTTAAGGGGCCTGCAGTATAAAATGAGTATTGCATGACATAAGTATTGATTGTGTGTTAACTGAACATCGAGCTGACTTATGGACTTCAGGTTGTGTATTCGTTCAATGCAATATGTTTGATGCAATTGTATAGATAATGCACGCGACGAAAGGTAAAGATATACCTGACTAATTTCATTTTCAAATCCAAATATATTCTCTAAAACAGTAAGGAGTCATGAAACATATGGATCGGAAGAATAATAAGCTATGAAAAATGACTGTCGGAATAAAGAAACCCGAACGCCCCAACACGCTCGAAACAGTGCACGTGGACAATTTCATTCCTGCCTGCAGGTGGGCGGGTCATTCTTGATTTTGACACTTCAGTGAACGGTCGTTAAATCGCTCTGAGCCATTAGAGTTCTTGATGTTCATTGTCTACAGATTCTTGGTTATGTAAAAACTGCGCACTCACATCTGTGTGGGTTTCAATTGTAACAATATCCACATGTCCACCGATCTACTTCATTGTAAAACAATAGTACAACAATGTTACTATTACAATGTAAAGATTAATTATTAAATAATATTAATAACTTTACCACTGTAGGAAAACACAACAGTTTATGCCACTCCAACAAACCATTGTGCCACTGCCATAGTTCTAGCCAATGAAACATATGTTGCTATTATTATGTATCAATAAAGCAGTTTTATGCCAATCCATTCGGGTAAATTTTAAACATTTAGCGTGTCATAGTCAACCACTATGATCGTGTCAATTAAATGTCCCTTGTTCCTTGGAAACATGACAAATATTTAGAATTCGTCGTTGTGAAAACATATTACTAGATTTGTATCATGATTTGTTTGTTTATTTTTTTATATTGCATATGTATTCAAACACAAATATGTCACGTTTTCATTCCTAAAGATACTAAATGCAAATTGCAACTAGTTGCACCTTCTGGGCTTCATATGTGTGCTTTATGACAGTATAGACGCTTGCGTCTGAGGGTAGGAATGCTACATTTCTTTGCACCGTGTTCATCTTCTGGATCAAAGTTATCTTGTGTCTTTTATAACTGGCATGATAGCGTTGTGTTATTGCAGGTTCTAATTCTGACTCGTTATTTATATGTAATACATATTGTAGCAGAAGTGTGCTTCATATAAAGTGTATGTAAATTTTAGGTTATCACACATATCAAGACAATTTCTCTGATCCTTGAACGACCTAAGGCCTGTCCAGATTAAGCCGGGTCTCGCCTGGTACAGCAGTATACTGTCCACGTCTTGTCCTCTAAACGTCAGAGTCTGTCTACATCAAGGCAGACGGTCACGTAAGAGCAAAACTGGGTTTATCACAGGACATTGGGACCGTATGATGCTCTCCCTGAACCGCACGAGAACGAATCTGTCACAAACTGGTCTCTGTCCAAAAGGTGATGAGGTGAAAAGGGGTTTAACGTCGCGTCCATGATTATTGCACTTACATAGCGACGTGCTTGTACCAGTTCGGACTGATGCCTATTTATAGTGCTAGCTCACTGATATACCTTGCCGCAGTTTAACATGAATACTTTATTTAGGCACAGTATACCGACTCCAAGTCGACTAGTCCTTGTTTTATCCCCTTAATGCCGAGCGCCTGACAGGGTAACAACAAGTACCATCTTTTAACGTCTTTTGGTATGACGCGGCCGGGCATCAAACCTCGGACCTTACGATGTCCAGGCGGACGCTCTACCTTTAGACCACGGAGGCGGTCTCTCAGCACAAGTATTGTCCAAACAGTTTGGTAAGGATTGCGTAGATGGACCAACCAAATATGGTTGACTTGTTGACGTGATGAACGACTCGTCCGTGGAATGAGTTTTCCCCAGCTGTCGATAACATCTCCAGAGATATGATATTTTGTTTTGATGAACATAAAAATGTCTGTCAACTTCGTAATTCGCCATTGCTGTTTGTAACATACCCACGGCGCGTCGTAAGCAAGCATCGGCATAGCATACACTTTATTTACGGTTAAACAAAAGTGGTTCTTTTAGCACATTTTAGGTACAAAACTCACATTCCCACTGGATTTTGTGAAATGTTGGTATCATGAAATAATTCTCGTAAGTAGAATTCCTTTTCCCATTTTGAAACGAGTATTTAATTACGTAACCAAACAGGTAGACGGCTTATGCTTTGTCATAAAAGTGGAACAAATAATCTGAAAAATATGGTCACCTCAGAAATGAGGACATTTAAAGTAACAATGTCGTCTGACTTGTCAGATGTTTTAACGCTGGTCTATCAAAGAGAAATACTTATGATTTTTTTTGTAAATAATTGACACTGAAAATTTCAACCATTTAAACGAAGAGTACTGAACAATCATGACAAATGTGACTTTTTATTGCAAATACAAATTTCTTGTTTCATGATGGCAAGAACACGTCTATACAAACCAGCTGATGAAAGTGAGATATTGTGATTGCATACAAGGGAAAAACAGATTTGCAGCAGTACATGTATGCGTAAAATAAACCACATCAGGCTTTAGTGTGTGGCTGACAGGATAGCATACACCTTAGAAGGGTAATCCTGTAAACAGAGACATTTCTTTTCACTCGACCCAGAAGGCTGAGACATAATTATATGGACCTACACTGACTGGGTGTAGAGAAACCCATCAAATAATCAAGGATGTTAGATCCAAGGCTGGCGATGATCATCATATATTTTGAATTTTTGAACATCACATTGAATGATAGATGAAAACATATTGACCACAATTTACAATGGTTCATGTTCCTTCACATGCTTGAGCGTCACTGCATGTCACACACATGAGCATACTGCAACAAACCTGGAAAGTCCTGTCAGACTAATTACACATTACTTCATTGGTGAGAACCCAGATCAAAATACATATTCCTTTCTCCAACAGAACCGAACTGCAGGAAATGTCAGTGTGCCCTATTCCTTTTCTAAAAGATAGCATTCTCTTTTTAACATATGACTAACTCACCAGCTCAAGTTCCACCCTGGCTCTTGTGAATAATATTTCATGTACTGTTCGAAGAAATTACTGTATTAAATTTATAAAACAATTATGTTTTATGTATATGAAGAAAGCTGTGAATAGCTGTAAATAATATATATATATATATATATATATATATTATATATATATATATATATATGAGTGAGAGAGAGAGGGAGGGTATAAGCAGGTGCGTGGTGTGTATATATATATATATATACAGAGAGAGAGAGAGAGAGAGAGAGAGAGAGAGTGAGAGATCACGCACGTGCTTATACCCTAAAATATTCAGCAACCCATGAATGTTAATTTCAAATATGTTTTGTCACGCACCTGTTGTGGAAGGTGATCATTGCCAATTCTACCATGACATTGATGAATGCTTGATTCTGATTGATTAAAAGACGTTTCCTCTTTGCTACGGAAACCCCTTTCAAACATATTAAGCCTTTTCACACCAAAAAAACCCCACGAAAAGCAACAACAAAACGTGCGTATGAATACATGGACAGCCTCCATATCGATTCATAGAAAATGACTGTCTATCGATCACCCCAAATCAACTGTAAAACGTATGTTTATTCCCTCTAATACACGCTGGGTCTCTAATACCAGCCTGGTCTCTAATACACGCCGAGTCAAGGTCGCATTTTACGGCAAGCATGGGTTGCTGAAGATCAATTCTACCCCGGATCTTCACGGGCCGATATTGACAGGTCACACAATGCAGATACTGAGATAGGCCCTACCTCGTGTCAAAATGTCCTGCTCGTCGGCAGGCTAAAAAGCGGCTGTTCAGTCATACTCAGCTCCATTGGTAATCATATTGTACCAGCAGGCTCGATCATTCCCAGTAATTCTACAGGTTAATGTTGAACCACATCATAGATCGGGGTTGTCATCTTGCTTGGTTCAACTAGCAACGGAGAATGTAAACACAAGATTGTCAGCCATTGACAGCTGCGAGGTGTAAGTAACCGTGATGACCCAAGTTCGGGGTGGAAGGGCATTTATTTTGATGTTATAATTGTTTACTGGGGCTAAGTTTGGAGTGTTATTTGTCAACTTCTTTTGCAAAACTCTGTGTTTTGAACACTTATTTTGAACTACTCACGACTATGGCGTTTTAATCTTGAACATAATAATTGTTATATATATACAACTACCTGTGACTACTTTTCGGAATGATCTAAGATCTAAGATTGATCTAAGAACCGTTTTCAAAGCGTTGTCGCCATCATAGTAGAATGGAGATAAACCTACTGTGTTTTGAAATTTGGTGTAGCCCAACTGCAGATACGTCTTTATTATAATTTGGAACCTGGCGCTAAAGCAGGTTGCACTTACTGAAATATATCTATCCGAATTCATGATCTATATTTTCGTTTTTCTTTCGTCATATTAAACAGAAAATGACAAATGAAACATTCTTCGAATGAGAAGATCGTCAACATTCGCCAAGGCATATGATATATGAGTGAGTGAGTGAGTATGGTTTTACGCCGCTTTTAGCAATATTCCAGCAATATCACGGCGGGGGACAACAGAAATGGGCTTCACACATTGTACCCATGTCTGGAATCGAACCAGGGTCTTCAGCGTGATGAGCAAACGCTTTAACCACTAGGCTACCCGACCGCCCCTATATAATATATGAAGGCAATGCATACTTTTTAAATATTAGAATAGCAATAAGTTATGCTGACGTCGGGCGACGTACGTCTGCTAGCATCATGACACGTGAGTTGTGTTTTCGTATATCGTAGATATTCAACCCAAACATTGGAAATTAAAATTGGTGAATATTTATAAGCCATTTATTGTTTCCTGAACATTTTATAACATGACACGTTAGATTAATCCGAATGTTCGTATTTCTGTAATTATCAAGATGACCTGGAAATTAAGGTTGTTTTTTTTAGTATAAATTCGATTTTATTTATCGGCAAACCTCAGTTATAATTAAGATATCGGAGATGAAATGTAACAATTCAAAAAGGTTCCTAGCATGAAACTCAAACCACCTTAAATAGGTTTTGTGTTCGCTTAGGTCTTAA